TAATAAACATTGGATGGCTACGAGGTGATCTTCAAGAACTGGCTGGAGTGTTACAACAAAAAGGATTTTCACAATTTGAAGGAAATTACAGTTACGTATTTTTTTCGAATAAATGTTTCTCCTAAAAAAAACTTATATCAACAAGTAAGCGTCTTCGTCTTACGTTTAAATTGCTTTAATACTGGGTGACAATTAGAGTAGCTAGTGTTCACTACCAAAAGCTTGCGATATTTTTCTTTAACAGATGGATATTTACAAGACTTGACCTAGTCTGATACAGGGCTACATGGCTAGCGTCGCCGTCATTATCAATTGTCAGTGAGGCTGACGTGCTATCACTTCACAGTAAGACGCAAAATCTCGCAAAAAACAGTCTATGTAGGCGTCTTAAATTTCTCCGTGCCTAAATAGAGCTAAAAATCGAAAATCAACTCAGATTTTATTTTCGTAATCAAAATCGATATTTCCAGACAGGATCCAATCAATAATTTTTTCGTGAGCTGACTGGAGACAAAAGAACGCGCAATTTTGTCGATTTTTTTTTTTAAATTCAATTTTTCTATGTAGGAATTAATTTTTATTCTTTTTTATTATCATTTTGTCTTCTTTTGTAGTATATGTGCCCTCGTTCCTATGCCGGCTCGTTTAATGTTCCCAGAGAACGGTTGTAGGATACATATTAAATAAGCGAACGTGTATGAGAAAATACCTATTTTATTTAATTTGTTTATTTGTGGACGAATCTGTCGAAGATATATCTGTGTGCTTATCTTAGGCTATAAAGTCCTGCTTCTTTGTATCATGCTCAAAATAATCACATTAAAACCACATATGTCAGGTCTGTTCACATAGAATTTGAAGATAGCCTTGTGGTTATCAGCAGAGTAATTAAAATTCCAACCGGCCTCGTTGCATTTACTTTCATACAAATACATTTGGAAAAGACATGGATCAATTTTTCTTACCACAACCCAGCTAATGGTTAACAACAGCACAGAATGTGATTATTAGACTTTGTTGACATCTATTCTAGAAGAAGAAAAACATTAAATCCAAAACCGGTTGTCAGCTGTCAGTTAAGTCAGTTATGTGCCATGTGTGATACACGCTTAGGTGACCATGTATCTTTCGATACATGACTGACATGGCAAATTTTTCGCGCAGTAGATTGTCATTTCTTTCTACGGTATAGACCAGATGCTATCCAAAACTATAGAACCCAATCTGTCCTCTTATTTTACCCATAGCTGGGGGATAAAGAAGAGTATTCATACCTTTCCCCATAGGTATTAGCACGTCAGTCAGTCAATTATGTGCCATGCGTGAAACATGATTAGGCGATCATATATCTTTCACTACATGACGAGGCAGTTTTTTTTCCCGCAGTAGGTTGCCATTTCTTTCTGTCGTAGACCAGTTGCCATTCAATTCAATAGAACTAGGTATGTCCTGTTATTTTATCCATAGCTAGGGGAGAAAAAAAGATGTTTCTTACCTTTCATAAGGGTGTTAGCACGTAAGTGAATGTAATGGATTCGACTGGAATTCGAACACAGCTCTGCGATACTTCAATCCGAGCCGCTATCCATTACTACACTATTGTCGTAAAAGGACAAACTTTTACCATAGAAAGCAGAGCAGGGACACCCAAAGTAGATAAGCTATGGACCAATATATGACCATTTTCGTTAAAGACGATTTTGAGAACGATTACGGAAAGAGAATACTGTTGAGTCGTCAACCGCGAAGCATGTTCGTCTACGGCGCGCTGAACTCTTTTCTACTTTCCGTGGAGATAGCGAGAATGCAGCGAAACGCTTGCCATATCCCTCCTGTGAGAGTAAGGTTGGAGGTTGGATAATAATTCTTCTCCAGCAAGGACTCAGAGAGCCTTTTGGATTCTATCGAGGCTGAAGAGTGTGGTTTTGGAAATTCCGTTCAAATATGCAACAGTACTTCATTTTTTACCTGAATTGGCTCTTGAAAAGGTAGAAGACAGCACGTGGAGTCAGGTACTTTTTGAAGCGGTACCTAATCGGACTTGTTATATTTACATGATGCGATTGCTCATGAGCACAAACGAAATAGGGACGCTGAGAATCTTTTCTTATTAATAAATCTTTTGGCTATATAATCTAGCTGAATTCATTTGCATTCTTTTTCATCTTTCTATTACATTTGTTTTTTGTTTTTTTTTTTTTTCTTTTTAATATCCAGCATTGTAATAATTGAAGATCTGCCAAAAATGGGGAAACGTTGTAAGAACCCGGATGAAAAGTTAGTGTGGACAGTAGGCATCTGTTCATCTTCAGAGATAAACGTAGCGCCCTGTTTGGTCAAAATTCGGACATAGGTGGTGAAACTAGGGTAAACATTTTATGGGGGAAGGTCTGGTCAATCGAATACGGAGGCCGTGGGCTGCCTAGACTACTTACTCCCACCTCGGAGTGAATACATTAGGGGAGAGCTTGGCTGCAGGAGTTGCCGGAAAGTTGTCATGGTTAACAGTTAAGCGCCTTCGGTTCTCCACTCTGCCCTTTCTGTTTGGCTTACTTGATGGCCTTTTTCGTATTCGGATATGGCCACCAGGTGGCGGAAGATTAAAATCAGCGTTCCTCTTCTAGATGTACTTCCTGGACAGTCGAGCTCTATCTCTTCGTATAGCTGGTCATGTGGCACCAAGTATGTGCCTTCAATTATTCTCCAGCTTGGAGCTGGATTTATTGACCAGAAGCTGTTCGTGATGTATACTGCGGAACCATTTTTTATAGACAGTACGAGCGTGTCCTCACTATCACCCCCTGCTATGCCAACCTTTGGAACAGATATATAATGTACATATATAAACATTATATACAATACGTGAAGCTCAAAAAAGAAATCAAATTTTAAATATAGTCAAACGTAAAGTAATCAGAAACAGTAGAAAGCAAGACTAAAATATTAATATATATATATATATTATATATATTATAAATTTTTTCAGTGCCTTTAAAATCCAGTAATTTTAAAAATAAGTTACTCCAAAATTCGCTTGAGGATGAAATTACAAAATTAAATTCGAAGCTTTTAGCTTCCATTTTTTAAACATGGTTAGAACTGTGTAGCGAAAGAAACATATTTTAAATTAATTAATTTATGATATTAATGCTCTGTAAATTTACATTGAGCACTATTTTGTAAAAATAAAAACATCTATAAGAAAACCGGATTATATATCTTACTGTTCTTTCTTTTATATATATATATATATATATATATATATATATATATATAATTATTATTATTATTATAATTATTATTATTATTAATCCTTTGCTAGAATATGAGGGAAAAAGGTAGAGTCTTGAGGAAACTTTTTGCCATTTGAACTCCCAGGAAAACTACTAATTATAAATGCTATTAAATATCGATCCGTACAAACTATAAGCCTATCATTCGGAACATCTGTTCAAATGATATTACAGCACATATTTGCCTGATATGGAAATAGCAAACCCCTCGCTAATTTATGAAAACGATGTACATTTCTTAGTTCCAGTAGTTCAGACCTTTAGAGATAAGACATGTCATAGATGAGTCACATGAGTCATAGACTTCGTTAATAAGGAGGAAGTTTCACCCGGACAGCTTCTTCCCAAGCAGCCTCAGTAAAATCCAATCTCTTCATGTTTACGATCAAAATCTTTATATAACCAACATATATATATATATATATCCAACATATATATATATATATATATATATATATATATATATATATATATATATATATATATGTGGAATGTAAAAATAAATAAATATATATATGTATAATTATTTATATATTATATGCGGTACTTTGTCTGACGATCGCTAAAGCGTGAAACCCAGGTAACAAACTCATCTATCAAATATCATATATATATATATATATATATATATATATATATATATATATATATATATATATATCTTTCCTAACTGGTAGTTTCCTGAATGTGCTGATTAACGACCAGTCCTCCGTGGCTATGGCGGTCAACGCAGGCGTACCCCAGGGGTCACTTCACGGGCCAAGCATCTTTTAGCTTTACATAAATAATCTGCCTAAGAATATACGAAGAACATTTATGAACATCAATGCCGATGATAGGACGATATACGGTTGCACCTCTTAAATTCTTCATGTTCAGAGATTGGCAACTCATCTCTCATCCGATCTTGCACTAACTTCTCAAGGAGGGAAAGAGAGGCTGGTTATATTCAGTCTCGAAAAGCTAGTTAAATTCTTTTATCGCCGGTCAAAACCCGAACTACCACTAGTCACGATGAACGTATGTCTTCTCGGTGAGGCTCCGTGTCTTGAAAGACTTTTAGGCCTCAAAATCACACCCGACCATATACGGAACACGTACATACGATACTTCGCAAAAGATGCAAGAAAGGTTTTCGGGTTCCCGTAAGGCTTCTGTAAGTATCCGTCTACACATACTATGTTTTATGCTTCCAAAAGCAAGATCAGGCCTAAAATGTAGTACTGATGTGATATTTTGGCAGGTGCTGCTCAGCCTTCATATTGCCTCCGTATTCCAATAGTGAGAAGTAATAACAGCTTCTTCCCGCGAGCCAGAATTCTGTCGAACCGTCTCCCAAGAGAATGCTTCCCAACCACTAGAGTTTTAACCTGTTCAAAGGTTTATCATTAAATTTCCCATAAACGGCTTCTTAATATAACCTCGTGTGGACCCGGACTTAATATAGAGACCTCGTGTGGACCCGGACTTTGTATAGGCTGAACTTTACTGTAAACAAAAAAAAAATGCCGCATACTATATAATTCATAACACCTCTTACGTGTATACGACGACCTTATTTTGTAGTCTACTTTGGGTGGCTCTTGAACCTTGGATGGGGTGAAGAATAGTAAATAAATATATTCTAAAAAGAAAAGTCCAGCGAATTTCGGATCAGAAAACATTGAAATCAATGAGCATTCAAACTTTCTCAGAGATGATGTCTACAGACGACCATGTGAAAAGAGAGAGAGAGAGAAAGAGAGAGAGAGTGAGTGAGAGAGATTAAAAAAATAAATCGAAAAAGTTATAAGCATAGAAAAATGATTCCGCCTTGGTTTGCTAATCAGAGAGTGTTTATAATAGACTCAAAATGTAGAAATAGCAAAAAAAAATATTTTGGTTAGATCAGAAAACACGTAATCAAGAAGAAACGGTTTTAATCAAGTAAAAGAAATGAAGCGGAAAGTTAACAAAAACACAAGAACAAAAAAAAAAAACTTAGAAATTACACTCGACAGTAACGAAATAAAACAAATAAATTAGTATCAAACAAGATATATTCGGTACCCTTAATAAACAAAAAATACTAAGAACTGACTATTCGGGATCAAAAGAAAAGAAGATTTATTACTGGACATAAAACATTTATATCCCGGTATGAATGACGTTCAGTAATTGTACATGCAAGCGAAAGATGGAGGATGGTTCCGCTGTACTGGGAATTTTATCGATTTGCTTAACAAAGGACTTTAGAACTATACATCACAGGGCTAATAATGGATTATGACAGTCAAGTTTTGTAGCAGACGACATGTGTAGGTTGAACAATGTTATAAACTTTAAGGCTAAGATTAGACGGCAACGATCTCCGCAAATATCCTTAGAAACGAAAAAATAAAATTAAAGGATTTAATAATGAAATCAGATAGACACAGTTGAGAAGAGATCGTATAAGATAGGAAAAATCAATCATCATCATATTCTTTTTCTTCTTCTTCTTCTTCTTCTTCTTCTTCTTATTATTATTATTATTATTATTATTATTACTACTGGCTTAAACCACATTATGTTGAAACACTGGTTCTCGTAAGATCACTGATGTTAAGCAATGTAGAGCCTGGTCTGTACCTTGGTGGGTGATGGCATGAGAATACAAGGTGCTATAATCATGGATGTGTGTGTGAGATCTAAAGGATAACGGCTAAGAATTGTTTATCGGAGATCCGTCTTTCAATTCCCATTGGAATCATTTTATTCACTTACGGGCAAATATCATTGGGAAAATTATGATTCCACCGATTCCCCGCCAAGATAAGGGTTAATTAGTAAAACATGAATCACGAAACCATTATTATCTCCAAGAAATATTCTTACAATCTTAAAAATATTTTCTGGTATTAAATAACCTGCAAAGGGCTGACAAGCTGTAGAAAAGAATTATTATTATTATTATTATTATTATTTGATTTGATATCCTCACTGAGACTGAGATACACAAGACTTTCACAGAGCCTTTCAATGTTGCAACCTGCGCACTCTCAATGACGCGTCTCCAAGGCGTCCTGGGTGGCAATCACATGCCTAGAAATAGTCCCTGTTGTCCCAAACCAGAGTACAGTTCTCCGATTTGCTTTGATGCTACTTCATTTTCGCCGGCTTCACTTTCACGGTGTTCTCATTCAATGATAGCGCTAAATGTAATAGGGTCCATCCATAGCTTCTCTTGCGGACTAGTGGGATATCAGGGCGATTAGTCTCGAAGCGCTTGTCAGTCATGATGGTCATATGATATTCTGATGTCATAGTCTTTATGCTTTATTATTATTTGATTTGATATCCCCACCGACACTTAAAAGTTTTGGCCGGGTGATCATGCTCCAACTCTCATCTCCAATCCGCAGGTGAGATACATAGAACTTTTACAAAGCTTTACCATGCTGCAACCTGCACACTCTCAATCATGCAACTCATCTCCAAGGCATCCTGCGAGGTAGTCACATACCTGGAAATAGTCCCTGTTGTGTCAACCGCGGGTACAGTTCTCCGATTTGCCTTGATGGTACTGCTTTTTCCGGCTTCACTTTCACGATGTTCTCATTCGAAGATAGCGCTAAATGCATCAGGGTACTTCCATAGCTTCTCTTGCGGACTAGTGGGATATCAGGGCGATTACTTTCAAAGCGCTTGTCAGTCATAATGGTAATATGGTATTCTGATGTATTTACGCTTTATTATTATTATTTAGGAGCTTGATCATTGATACTGTGTAATGTTTTCTTTATTCACAAGTTTCATATAAAATACGAAGATCGGCTGAACATTTCACAGGTTGAACAGGGCTGTGACGAAATGTGGTTTATTTTTCAGTTAAATATTATTGTGGCCCTCACATGTCTTCCCTCGGCGTTGCAGTTCTTTGATACCATTGGTGCAGACGATTTCATTCAAATGCGCAAAGGAGTCATCGACAGTAGACATGAAGGTCAACACCAACACGATACTGGTTTCCAGTCAATTATTTTTTCATGTTGAGCAACAGATGGGAATCATATGGAGCCAAATCCGGAAAATAGAGAAAGTGATCAACTTGTTTAAAGTCACAGCAGCCAAGCACTTGTGTCCTGGAGCATTGATCTGATGAATCAAGACAACTTTTTGTCATTTTTATTGGGCGACTGGTCTTGATAAATTTGCTACTGATTTAGCATGTTGGCATACTGCACTCCGTTGATAGTGTCATCCTTTTGAAGACGGTCAATAAGCACAATGCCTTTTTCATCCTAAAAAAAACTGAAGCCATCAACAACCTTGCAGATATAACGACATTGGGCTTCTTCTCAGTGGGTGAAGTGTTTCCAACGGATGAATTGTTTCTTTGTGTCCCTGGCTCCAATTGATGAACCTATCACACATCTTGGGTCAGGAAACATCCAAAGAAACCAACTGGATCTGACAATGACAGATTTTCCCGTGATGTAATCATCCTGGTGCGCTTTTGATCAGGTATCAGAAGACGTGGCACCCACCGTACAGAAACCGTCGTCATGCCAATTTCATTGTGCAGAATATTCTCACTTTCTCAATGGATATACTAATAGCATTAGCTATGTGATTTATCGTTAATCGCCTGCAATCCATCACTATGTAGGGAAAACGATCAATGTTCTACTCGCTGGTAGCTGTTACAGGAATCCCAAACATTAACTCATTCTTTAAGTCACTCCCTTCCATTCTTATATTCCCTGCCAATTTTTGCACTGTTGATAAACTTCAAGTGCCACAACTAATGTAGTAATCATGTCAGCTTAAGGGCTAAACACATTTTTTGCAGTTTCATGATTGTGATAGCTCTTTGTTGCCAAATGTTACCTTCACCACAAAGAACCATCCCTGCCTCGCATTAGAATGTCTGACGCTCAACTCCACCTGAGCACCTCTTTGCGACTGCTCGGTCTCAGCTTGACTGCTAACCTGAGATCGAACAAATACATTGAGTCAATAGTTTTGTCCACCGCAAAGAAAGTTGGCTCCCTGTCTCAACGTCCTGGATAAAATCCAGAGACGGTTACGCAGTGTAATTGGCCCTGATCTGGCATCTCGTCTGCAGTCGCTCTCTCACAGATGTACCGTCGCCTCCCTCTGTCTTTTTTTTACAAATACTTTCATGACAACTGCTCCGATGGCCTGTTTCGGTGGTTCCCAGGCTTCATGAATTCAAGCGTCCTACGAGGCTGGTATCCCGCTCTCACCCTTTCACTGCTGAAACTGTTAAATATAGCCGTCTCTTCTACTCCAATAGCTTCATGTCTCGCACTTCTTGCCTGTGGAACTCCCCTTTTCTTGTTTCCCTGATAGCTATAATCTCCAACTATTCAAATATAATATCAATTGACGTCTCCAGATGCTCTGATCTATCCCCTAATCATCCTTTCCTCTATCACTCCTCTTTGCTCTCGCTCCAACTCTCTGTAACCCCTTGCGGGCTAGCGGCTTCCCGTCTTGCTTGGGGTGAAACGCTTCAAAAAAATATTCAAGAGAAGTCATTACGAGTTACATTTGAAGTCTTCTTTGAACAATATGATATCAATTTACTAATGCAGTTATTAATAAGAAGAGTTGAAATTGATGAATACAGTATATCACAGATCTAGTACAGCAGTTTCATAGTTAGCCTATCAATTTATCAGCCTTCTTTCGTATCGGACCAAGGAGTAGATGACATTTGTTTAAAAATTACTCAACAATTAAAACATATTAAGGGCTTACTGAGGAATCTATATTAAATGCAAAATGGAATGAAAGCGAAGCAAACTGTAAATATTGATTATTCGGAGATAAGAAAAATATTTTCAAATATATCAAACTTAATTCAAAGCTTAACTAAAATGTATATATGAATGAGGTGGAATGGTAATTGATTGGAAATAGTTAAAAATTGATGAGTTTTGATCTTGAAAAATAAGGAAAAACGCGTAACTCGAAAGTAATTTAAGCGAGCTTGAAATATGTTTTTTAAATTATTAATGTGATAAACGAATCCAGTTCAGAAGATAAGAACTAGAAGAAATTATGTTGATGAATTTAGATCAGATCACCCCGTTTCCACTGAGTTTAAATGCACACTATCCGACCACTATTAAACAACATGCTCAAACAATCGTTTTAATCCACTAGACCATTGTCTCATAGGTCAATTTGCTGTAGTAAACTTAACCTGCTTAGGCTGCAACTGACCTGCTGCTGTCGTGTTTTGACTATTTCTGTTGCTGTTGCAGCTGCCGATGTTGATCTTGTTTGTAGAATAATTATCACCGCTGTACGGAGATGAGATAGCTTTATTCTCACTAAAGGGAAGAAAAAACTGCGTTCCAGCGGAATAATTTTAAATGTAATGGGAGTAATTTTCCCAGGGAAGAAAAAGAGTAATAAATTAAATGGATGATTTATGATCCATAGAATCGGGATTATATCTTTCATGGTTAATTTGCACTGTAACACTCGCGCTCAGTACCCATTAAAAATTTCCCTTTGATAAAATCCACCCTTTTGGGATTATCGACAGTGAAATTTAGGATTCATTCGCGTCGTTGGCGGCAACTATGACTGTCGTTGTTTGTATACATTCATTGCGGAATGCAAAACGCGGAATACTACGGAAAATTAAGCGTGGAACTGATCTTTCTTGTCTAAATTTGTCTCATTTACTGCGCCCGAGAACTATTTAGGTAGACACTCTCAGTTTGCGCAATAATACCTACACCGATAGTATCAAATGTATTCAAAGAACACCAGTAATGGCTGTCCGCGAAGCGAATGAATCCGAACTTTCACTGCCGATAACTCCAAAACAGTAGATTTTATAAAATTTATCATGCCAGATTCGAATGGAGCATGTACAATTACATATAAAGGTAAGTATTTTGGAAATTTTTAATGCGAACTGAACGCGGGATGATACATTGCAAATTAACCTCTTTTATTTTGCATCGGCTTGTTTTTTTTGTTTTCTTTTTCATTTAACTCTAAAAGATATTTGATTTCCTTACTTATGCTATTTGCTTTCCTAAATTGTTTCAGTAACTATCGGTGTAAAAAATACTGAAAATGCAACTCGATTGCAATTTAAAATGGTGAACAATTGAAAATAAAGATTAATGAAGACACTGGAAATCGCAACGGGAAGGAATCTCCCGCTGAATTTGAGACTGATTGATTTGAATCTATTAAAACTTGGAATATATATTTCGATTATCTAAAATAATTGGTCAAATTTTGTTAGAATGCTTCCATATTTTTTATTTTACAAATGTAGTGTCATTTTAATAAGTATTCTTTTTTTTATCATATAAAGTTATTATTTTCTTCCCGCCAAATTCGACTAGCATCGCTTCTGCGACAGTTGGATCACTTTTGAGATTTCTAAAACGACATTCATTTCGATTTGCTGTTCTATTAGTGACTTTTAATTAAAGTTGATAGTTTTCCCTCGGACGTTTTCATTCAAAAGAAGCTATTTTTTAGTTGATAATTTTTTTCCTTTTTTGGGGAAAAACAAACTTTAAACATAAATAAATATCTATTCAATCAATGTCTTAAAACCGAATATTGAAATTCAAACCTCTCTCTCATTAGATTCTATGACTTGTCCCTGAGTAAAAAGAAGT